ATTTATTGATAATATTTGTGATCTTTACTATCTCCGTAATTTAGCTTATGACAAGAAATATTGGCATAAGCAACAGTGAAGTTTTCACATTTCGTTATTTGTGTTAGGGAAATTAGACTTGGGCGTTGTTTTGAAATATTCCTTGTTTAGAACTTCTATTTGATAATATAACAATAATATGATTTTGAATTTTGCATTTGTCGGTCCCACCCTTATTTTATGTCCACCGCTCTTACGTCAACCAGAATTTTCCAGCAATTTGAATTTGCAGGTTGAGTCTTATAAGGTCTTAAAAGAACTATAATCTTAGTTTTGTGGCGCCAGTTTTCAGCGGAAGCTATAGTGTCAATATGTGGCTAAGTGGCTTAAAGAATTCATTGAGTAGTTTCAAACCAATATATTTAACTGAAGGAAATCATGGGACAGACTTCTGTCTTCTGCAGAAGGAAGATGTCAATAATGGCTATAAGGTTAAAAGGCCATATAAAACAAACTGAAGAACGAATTTAACTTTGCCAGCTTTCTCACCTTTACTTATAAGTGCCATTTACAAACTCGTGGTCCGTGGAGGAGTTAAAATAAAAAACTTGCAGGATTGTGTAGTTGTGTATTATTTTAAAATAACGCACGCTGAGAGCACGATATTTGACAATATCCAAGAATGAAGAAGTCTGACCAGTCTATGTAGAAATAGGTGTGTACCCTAATCCTTAAAGTAAAATTAACCTTGACCATAACCCTGACCCTGCCCCTGCCAGCTACCCTCGAGTGCCTGTTATATTTTATAATGCCCAATACATTTTATTTATAGATAAAAACCACTGTGCATTGCGTGCTGTTTGTTAATATTCATATAAGTTAAATTGCATTATGGCCACTGCTATATTATGGCCAGTGCTTAAAGTCTTACGTCAACAAGAATTGTCCAGGAATTTTAATTCGAAGGTTGAGTCCTGAAAGCTCTCGAAAGCACCTTAGTTTTGTGATAGGTTCTCGCTAGCGTCAATACTTCAATATCTGGCTAAGTTGCTTAAAGAATTCATTGAATGTTATCAAACCATGTTGCATAACTTACATATTATATTTATGCACCATATTCAAATGTTTTCGAAATATTTCCAATCGTCTTTCGATTTATTGACTTGAGTGGCACATATAATCGGCACTATTTGCAACCTTCTAATGGGGGATCAGATCTATTTAACTGAAGGACACCATGAGACAGAATTCAGTCTTCTATCGACTGCTATGAGACAAAATGATGATGTTAATAATGGCCATATTCCATAAAGATAAAAGGCCATATACAATAAATTTAAGAACGAATTTAACTTTGCCAGCTGCCCCACGAAAAACCTCACCGAGCCTCCACGCGGTGTGGGGTGGGTGGCTCGAACGGGAGGTGCATGGGTGTTTTTAACCTATGCAAAGGAAGGGACTAGCCATCTCTACAACAAGGAAAGGCTCTAATAGCCTCTACTAACCTTAGAACCGCAGCATAACACTAACAGCTTTTCCCACAGGCAAATAACACGTTCCGCAGGAAACTAACACGCTCACAGGATCCCACATGACGTGTAACCCCAGGATTTGGTTTTGAATCAGACACTGAAAACAACGATAGAGGAGCGGTCTACACGTTCACACTTCACAGGCTTCCATGTCTCGTGTAACCCCAGGATTTAGCACGCTTACAGACTACCACGTCTCGTGTAACCCTAGGACTCACTTAACAGACTATAACACGCTCACAGGCTTCCACGTCTCGTGTACCCTAGGATTTGGTTTTGAATCGGACACTCAAAACAACGATGAAGGAGCGGTCTACACGCTCACAGGCTACCATGTCTCGTGTAACCCCAGGATTTTACACGTTTACAGGCTACCACGCCTCGTGTATCCTAGGATTTTGTTTTGGATCGGACACTCAAAACAATGATAGAGGAGCGGTCTACACGCTCACAGACTACCACGTCTCGTGTAACCACAGGACTCTAACACTTAACAGACTCTAACACGTTCACAGGCTTCCACGTCTCGTGTACCCTAGGATTTGGTTTTGGATCGGAAACTCAAAACAACGTTAGAGGAGCGGTCTACACGCTTACAGGCTACCATGTCTCGTGTAACCCTAGGATTTAACACGCTCACAGGCTACGACGTCTCGTGTAACCCTAGGACTCTAACACTTAACAGACTCTAACATGCTCACAGGCTTCCACGTCTCGTGTACCCTAGGATTTGGTTTTTGGATCGGAAACTCAAAACAACGACAGAGGAGTGGTCTACAGTGACGTTACAGGAACATTGCATACTCCTAAGAGTTGCGCGTAGTGCAGGCCATGACCGTCCCTGGAAGTCCCTGTCTCCTCATCGTTAACCCGTAAGGGGTTGCACCGGGGGCGGTGGTAACAGAACTTCAAGACTCTCGGAGTATTTTGTCGATATCTATGTATAATATAATTATGGTATATAACTTGGGAGTATCTCTCTCTAGCAGCAGGAGTTGGAGAATGGGGACGCGTTGTGAAAGCCACCGCAAGGAGGGCTTACAGTCGACGCCGACCAATCAAAAGAAGAACTTTGCCAGCTTTTTCATCTTTACTTAAGGGGGCAGATCTTTTATTCGATTTTGAAAATTGTGGACCTTTTTTTTGACGATTTTTACAGGTCCAAGATTTTCAAAATCGAATACATTTTTTAAGGCCTATCTTAAAATTCTGATAGAACAGAATCTTCTTAATGGTGGTCCTTAGAACATATCCTGAAAGTTTCAAGGTGATTGCTCAAAAAATTTAGGAGAAGATAGATTTTTAGACTCGACTTTCAGGGCGCGCGATTGAAAATCGCTCGCGCAATAGAATTACTCATGAGCGCTGACCTTTGACCGACGATAACTTCGGCTAGGAACAATATTTTTCCATGGGGTCAAAGCAGCAGATAGATATCACTATCCTCTATCAGAAACAACTATAAAATCATAAAGACCCCTCCTGCCCCCTTAAGCGCCACTTGTGGTCTGTGGAGGAGTTAAAAATAAAAAACTTGCAGGCTTGTGTATTATTTTAAAATAACGTACGCTGCACGCACGTTATTTGATCTGTCATCTGACAGTATCCAAGAATGAAGAAGTCCGACCAGTCCACGCGGAAATCCGTTTGTAACCTAATCCTAAAATTAACCATGACCATAACATTGACCCTACCCCTACTAGCTACCAGCTACCCTCGAGATAGTGATTTCCGCTATCGTGTCGAGCATCTTGGATAGTGCCCGTTATTTATAAATATACACCACTGTGCATTGCATATGCCGGTTTTTAATATTCATATTAATTTTGCATTTCTTGGTTCTGCCCGTTATATAATCTTGTACGTCAGCCAGAATTTTCCAGGAATTTGAATTCGAAGGTTAAGACTAAGTCATGAAAGCTCTTGAAAGCACCTTAGATTTTAGTTTTTATCGGTTCTCATTCCAGGAAACTAGCGTCTGACGCTACTAGCGTCAATATGTGGGCGTATAAGTGGCTTCAAGAATTCAGTGAATATTATCAAACCATAACTAAAATATTGTCCAAAGCTAACCAAAAATTTGGGCTGCTGAAACGCACTTGCTCATTTGTCCAAGATGAGAGACGAAGAAGAAATTTATACCTTGCACTTGTTAGAAGTCAATTTGAACACTGTTCCCAAATCTGGCGTCCATTTAATAAAACACAACTAGATAAGATGGATGCTTTTCAAAAAAGGTGTATTAAGTGGATTTTTGATGAGGAATTCACAAGCTATCAGTCCTTTGAAAACTATACTTACAAATGTCATCAATTAAAAATCCTTCCTCTCAGCAAGAGGTTTGAATTGAATGACCTGACCTTGTTTCACAAAATAGTCAATGGTGTATGCACACAAGAGCTTCCTAATTACTTACAACTATACAAAGGAAGCACACGCTTAAGATCATGTCACCATGACAGCCTAAGTTATGTAACGACTCTTGTTCAAACACAGTGTAATAGCAGTCTCCTTAAGAAATCATTCTTTTATCGGACACATCTGCTCTGGAATAAACTTCCTCTCGAAATAAGAGACCATAGCTGTCCTGATATCTTCAAGGCCAAACTTAAGGATCACCTATGGTCGGAAATGCTACCCACAGATCCAAACGATAGTCACGCTGAATTCTACCTGTCTGATAATGATTAGATGCATCTCATTTCTCCCAATGCCAATTCTCTAATCTAAAATAACCGATCCAAACTATTTAAGGGGTTATTTATTTAAAGGGTATAGGGGTGGGTTGGGTTGTGGGTTGGGTTTTTAACAGTATTGTATGATATAATCTATTTCATTAAAAAGTTAACAAATTATTAACATTATGATATTTTATGCACGCTGTATTTTATTATTGCACAATCATCTCTATTACTATATATCTTACATTTATATGTTTTGATTGTATGAAATGTTTTGTCAGGGACCATATTTTGTAGGTGTAATTTTTGCACGAACTACGTTCTGGTTTCCCGTCATTATAGTACATAGAAATCACTTTTTGACCGTGTTATTTTCATGCAATTACATTGATGTATGTACTATTTTGAAAAGATTTTCAATAAAAAAATGTAGCCTTAGCCCTAGCTTACATATTATGCATCATATTCACATGTTTTCAAATATTTCCAATCGTCTATCAATTTATTGACTTGAGTGGCACATATCGGCACTATTTGCAACCTTCTAATGGGGGATGAGATTCGCTTTGTTCGTCACGTGACGGTGCTCTCATCTATTTATTGGTTTTTCTCCAATCTATAATCTATTTAACTGAAGGACACCATGAGACAAAACGAAGCTGTTAATAATGGCCATAAGGACACAACTAAAATGCCGTATACGACAAACGCATCTTTACTTACGTTTTAACTTGCTTTGCTTCGGCCTATATTAATATATTTTGTTATGTTCAATACCTTCATGGCAATAAATAAGAAGATTACTCACACTTACAGCAGGAAGGATACTAGAGGGTCCACCTAGAATACTAGAAGTTTCGGCAGGCAGTAAGTCGCTCTCTCCTCCAGCTTCCTGTATCAGCATGTTCGCTGTTTTGATCCACTCTTCACACTCCGTCTGAAGAAGATTGTGTTATTATTGTGTGATGTATTCAGTTGAATTTAGTTTAAGTTAAATCAGTCTCTCAGATTGAAATGTTGGTTCAACCATTGGTTTCCCGATCAATGGCTTTTGTTACCTGGGGACTCCAGGCTATATAATGTTCAAAAACATAGAATAGAGATTCGGCGAAATGACAGGCCGAGCGCCGCCCAGTAACGGCTTTTGAGGCTTTTTTACGTGACTTCCGAGTAAAACCACGATTTTAAATGCGCGGCGCTAAACAGGACGAAAAAAACGCAGTAATATAATTGTAAGTCAGAGTGTTAAAAGGTTTAGAAACCAGGGTACGCGGTAGCCTACTGGCTAGTAATGGCGTTTACCGTCATTAAACTCGTTCACCGGCGTGATAGAGTCACAACCTCGCACGTTTAAGTGGTGACCAGTACTTGTTATTTATCTAATGCTTGCATGAGAGACAGTCATCAGTACTCTGTAACCAAAAAAACTCGTTAATATTCGCTAATTTGCCTTTAAGATATAAATGCCTATTGTTTTACAGGCAGCTTTTGTACTAATTGAACTTGAAAAATTCCTTGTGGCAAGCCAGGAGGGTATGACCCCTAGTAAGGATAGATGAAGGGGGTGCAGACTCTGGGGATCTCTGCCGACTGGACGAACATATCGCACCTCCTTGAGCTCTCTAGAGCTTGTTTGGAAGAATATTTCAAAGTTTCAAGAAAAATAGTTGAATTGCCTCGAGCCAGACGTAAATGTATCGTCATATTTTTAAATAGAAATTATGTCACCACCTGATCATCTCATGTTCAAGAAAAGGTTTCCCAAGAACTAGAAGAAATAAACGCATATTTAAAAAATAGTAGTTAAATAATTGTAACAGTATTATAAGCCTTATATGGGCATAAAATTAATATTGGTAATCTAAAGCTCTACTTTCAGAACCTCTATAAGAACGGTTACATGACATCACTCTGTCAATATTTTCTGCTATAAAAAGAGCAAGGTCCCTGTGACACAACTGCGTCCAATTTCTTTTTAATCATTTGCATGTGCGCATTATGTCAAATGTGACAAGAGAAACGCCATAATATTAGAACGCGAGGAGAGCTGAGTGAGGACTCCTCGGACTACATCAAATTAATTCCTTCTGTAACGTGCTCAGTAATATGATAATATATTTGTAGTGCTGTAATTAGTTTTAAAAATGTATTATGTCGGTTTTACGAGCCGTAATTATGGTACCCGCTCAATAAACTTTTATTATTTATAGTGTTTAAAATTCGATTAGTCCCTTAAGGTAGACATCTCGAATAGTCAGCACTCAGCGCTGTTTAAATTTAGTGTTATTCAATAAGAACAAGTCTTAGACTTGCATTTAAATCCGACCCCTTTTACTCATTATTATAAACAAATATGACTCATGATATTTAAACTGTTCTAAATAGGGCTGACTGAGTGGTCACCTGCAATCCTCAACTTACTCACACGGTCAAATCTCAGGATGTAATTAGTTTTAACCATGTCAAGTCCATAATAATTAACTATGCATTAAAGATTCGACTTTTATTATTTTTGTATTTAAAAATAATTCTACTAGCCATGTTATCTCGCCAATTTTTGTGCCAAAACCAATTTTCTGACTACAGATCCAAAATAACATGTCAGAATCATCCTAGCACTGATTTTGAACAGTAAATGGGTCTTATTTCTTGTACTTTCTGTCATCAGCATTTCCAGAGGAGCCTTATGGAATGAATGAAGGAATGGGGTATCTCTAGTGAAGCAGTGATCAAGGTGGCTATTTCATTTTTCTTTGCTGAATTGTCAGCTAGGAATTGTATATTTTTAGTTTTTAGATGATTTATGTTATTTGCATGCTCATGTTATAATAGAGTTTGAAGCATTGTTGCGTTTTGGGGCTTTGTAATACTATGACGGCATTGCTTTGAATTTGAATTTCTGATGATATTGATTTTCAGTGCTATGCAACCTGGCAGTAACGTTGTAAAGGACTTTGAGGGGGTCTGTAGTCCCCCCGCATAGTATGTTTGTGTTTCACTGATTTGTAAACTGAAGACGTAAATACAGATACTCTTGGCCTCTTTGAATGATGTAAGGATAACGTTTATACCTAATGCTGTCTTAACTTTACAAATTGAGGGTTCAATGCTAATATTATTCTGGATATAGTTCATTAGTTCAAGTTCTGGCAACCGTTGATTAAGTATGGATAGCAAACGTTAATGACGACTTGCATAAACTAAGTTTGATAAAGATTGGGCTTTCCTTTATTTTTGGGGTTCTCAAGGCGAACTTGACAATTTCCTGATTAAAATCGCAATCTGAGATCATATTGCAGACCTTTATCTTGCTTGTAAAAAGTTCATCGCATACATCTATAATCTATATCCTTTTCAATGATCATGCTGCTCTTGTCGTGGGATGTAAAGGGTCAAGTCAAAAAAGTTGTTGGGGAGGAGGAGGGGGGGGGGGGGGCGGGCTCATAGTGTCAACTAGTACTGAATATATCTACGATTATCTTTTATTAACGATGCAGTGTCCACAATGGTCATAGTGCTATATTCTACTAATACTATGATGCTGGTCGGTCATGAACCGACTTCAGCATCATCTACCACCCACTCTTAAAGTTAGAGGGTTCAGTCAGATGGTTAAGTTCAAATCATCTCTCGTTTGGGGTAAATCTGGGACAGTTATTTGACAGCGTTCAAAATATTAACTAACACAAATTTATTTATGGCGTCGTTTGAAGGGTATTATTCGACAAATTTACGATGTTCACTCATCACACTAAATGTCAGAAGACGATTTAAAACGATTTTACCTGAACCAAAAGCATTTAACTGGTAGTGCTAGCCACTCATTGCAGCTGTCATTGTCATCCCTTGAACTACAGCGTCGTGGGAGCGCCCAATCGCTAAACACCAGGAAGTTATCCTCGTATAAAATAACGCCAGGCGTGTCGGTGTGACAACTAATGTTCGATAAAAGATTTGCCGTTATCTCTGCTGTAAGTATCTCAAGTTACAAGTATGTCTATTGAAGTGTCTAATATGTTTCTATCAAAAGTTGGCAAAATGCCAAAATTGGACTCTGCACGTGGCCGAAATCTATTGTATTGTTGTCAATAACTCAAATAAAGGATTTATTGGCATATGTTGGCGTTGCGGCATAAGTTGTACACAAATATGGCTAGATATAGGAGGGGACCGGACACGAGGGCGGAGGACACAAGGGCGGTACTCACTTTAACATGGACAAATGGGTTTTTGATGTCCTGAACTGGGGTCCGAGACCAAAACATTTTTTCGCCACAATTAGCAGACCATGTACTACCTAATGCTTGCACATCACCCTTAGCCCCAGAGCGCCTAGTTTGTCGTAAATTTGAGGTTAACAATTGCCTATTTTATCAGTTAACCTCACAAATAACTGGTTCTTAACATTTTGTTGCTCTCATCTAAGTTAAACTTATCCATGGGTACCAATTGGCCGTCCAACGTTGCAAAACTATTATATACCCTTCATTGTTTTGAAAAATTGAGGTTTTAACATATTTTCTTAAAAATCAGTCTTTTGGCTCTCCTGAAAACACATTTTAAATCTATCTCCTCCTAGAGCTTTCATCCGTTTCAGCTCAAATTAGGGACATGTTCCTGAGATAGTCACAGTCAGAAAATATAAGGCGATTTTTCAAATTTTGTTTCTAATTCTTTGTATGAGGTAAAATGTCGAAAATTGTCGAAAATATCGTGACGCACACTTATTGTTAACCTCATATCTCAGCTAAGGAGTAAAATATCAAAAATCGCCTCATATTTCTGTTGGACAAGACCTTGACAAACACTTTTGCCAAGTTACATGATGTAAACTGTAAAAGAAGATAGATTCCTGCCAAAACCTTATTTAAAGTTTTCATTTATAATAGAATTATAGGTAAACCTAAAAATTTTACGCGCGATATCTACAGATGGGAAACTTTTTTTTCATTGAGGACAAAAGTATTTGAAAATTTAGATCAAGCTCCTCAACATATCTCAAGATCTTTTTAAAAAAACCTCGGACCCCCTCCTGTGGCCTTAACATGGATCTACTCACGTGTAAATTTGAAACAAAAATATTGATGTGACAAATAATCACCCAGATTAAAACGATCCAAAAATTGAGAAATTTTCCTTAAATATCTCAGCAGCAGATTTTGTGGTTTGGTAACGTGCTTATACCAATCAAACACTGCGCTCAAAGATCAAATAAATCGACTTTTTAGATATATATTGCCTTAGTAAGTAACCCCTTACTAGTTGATAAAAACAAGCAGTTAAAAAAACCTTAAAGCATACAATATTGTAGATGTTCCTCCTAGCGTGTTTAATAAAACATATTTTTGATGACAGAAGATTATTCAAGCAGAGCTGACAGTGACACCAAAATGGACCTTCGTTTATGATAATAATTGAAGGTTATATGGAGGTGCCAATTCAGGCAGCTCACATGTGTCATAGTGAAACGATATTTCGATTAAGAGATCTGACCTTATAGATTACACAGAAAATGTGCCTGGAAATAATCAGAATGAAATTAGACAAGACAGGGCTTACAGATCAATTTAAGGATTGAAACCTTTGTTGTTGTCTAACTCTAACACAAAATAAAACTCGTGGTGGATAAAGATCACACGTGCCTAAAAAAGCTCAGAATGGCATATTTAGACGTGGGCTACAAATTTTAGGATTTTTGAAGTAAACCATCGCTATTTTGTGTGAGCAGTTTCCCAAATGCATCAACGAATGTTTGACTTGAAACCAGTTTTCACCAATATTTTATGCCAAAAATTCTTAGAACTTGACTGTTATATTCTTGTCTGTTTTTATTCTATTGCCATCAATTAAAAGATGTTTTAGCGTTAGGTCGGAAAATACGCTGATGTTTAACCAGTAATGTCTTTACTTTTCTATAATCAACTGTCAACATTTAAAAATAGTATCGAAATTTTCTTAATCTGATACTAATACTCTAATATATCAAAAAGCATTTAAGCCCCCTATACCCACTTAGCAGATAATTCCAATAACTGAGCCCCAAAATATGGCTTTTAAATTGCGAGCTTCAATGCATTTCATTGTAACCTCAAGCTTTTACCATTCAGCTTTGAAGTAGCCTTTTGCTGCTATATCATAGCTTGTAGATAGTAGATACCAGGGACCTCAATCTAACCTGTTCTCGTTAATAAAGGGTGACTTAAGTTACCGAAATTCATTTCTTAATAATATATTATATGATTTAAATTATCTTAGCTTTTGACAGAGCAAATTGGCGCAGAATGCAAGCCTTATGATTCTGTTTTTTAGAGAAAGATTAAATAGCAGCGTTGTCTTTACACTATCTGTTATTTAGAACTGTAGTACATAGTATATTATATAATTATTATTGTTATAAATTCACCTCTGAACTCAGCCATGGTTGCAGTTATCCCTGGCAAAACCCTTGACCTGGAGGAGAATCTAAACGAGATACATGTAAATTACCAGAATACAGAACAAATAGAGGTGTCACGCAACTCTATTATACGCCGGGAAGCTATAGTCCTGGAACGCGAGTCTGAGGCGCCAGTTAGGGGCAACTTCAAGAGTCAGGTATTTCTTAGTAATGTTTTTTGTTTTCTCACTTTCTCTCTTTTGTAGATTTAGTGTCGTTTCAACTTTCCATTTGATAAGGATTGGAGACCACGTTATTAAATTAATAGCGTTAATAAATAACAAAACGATTCTATGGGAGGCAAATATTAATGTTCCTATTTAACTGAAAAGGACTTGAACTTTGAAGGGTTAAAAAGTATTTCAGAATTTATTATACAGACATGATATTGTGAAGCTAATAATTCACAAGAATAACACCTTGACCTCAGGTGGACGATCTGTCTAGGACTGGCTCCAGGTGCACCAACACACTCTCCGCACCATATGACTACTACGTATGCGCTATCTGCCATGCCGGCAAATCTGAAGACAACTTTCTTTCCCGGTACTGCTGGTGCAAGTAAGTGCTTTTGGATTTTTTTTGGGCGGTGGAAACACCTCCAGCGCTCATCGGGTAATAAAGGGGCTTAGAAGAATCTGGAGGGGTTTATGCTGGGCCCAGGGATGGGGAGTACGGGGTAAAGATATGATGCGGCTGTCGCAGTACCAAATTTTTTCATGGTTTTAAAAGATATTAGATAGGGTGCTGCCTATAGCTTTTAGTTACAGACTTTCCGCAGAATATGTCCAGTTATTCTAAGAATTCTTTTTCTTTTGGCGGGATCTTAATGATGTTATGGAAATAAAACCTCTATTGAAGCCAAGAGAGCCTTTTTCATTACTAGATTGAAAATTGTTTTGTGACCGATTGCGGGCATGACCCAACTATGAGTGATCACTTAGAAGGCCCGTGACAAATATCTAAGACCTAATTAACAGAATACCAGTACCGAATATCGAGACTAAAGGTTTGAGAATCCAACCAAACTCGAGAAATTTCTGCCAATAAATAGAATTCTGACTATCAGAATCCGTCTAGGATTCAGCTAATAGCGGACATTTTGTGCGTCAAGTGACGTGAAATTTTCTAATTTGATGGTCCCATAATCTGATTGGTGAATATTTGTCACGTGGCAAAACACATTTTTCAAATCCCTTCTTTTTTAATTCAAAAAATTTAAAAAAATAACAAATACCAAATGGCCAAATATATAACGCTGGGCCAAATTTCAAAACGGATATTTTTCTGATCAAGCACGCTATCTTGTTCAATCAATGTAAATGCTGTGACAAACTTTCAAGAAATCGTGGAATAACTAAAGCGGAACTTAGACCTCAAAGCAAGTGATATTAATAATATGTTCATTTTCATAATTGTTCATTTTAATAATTGTTCATTTTCATAATCGTTTATCTTAATAATTGTTCATTTTCATAATTGTTCAATCTCATAATATTAATTGTTTATTTTAATAATTGTTCATTTCCATAATTGTTCATTTTCATAATTGTTCATTTTTATGATTGTTTATTTTAATAATTGTTAATTTCCATAATTGTTCATTTTTATGATTGTTCATTTTAATAATTGTTAATTTCCATAATTGTTCATTTTAATAATTGTTCATTTCCACAATTGTTCATTTTCATAATTGTAGTTATTGCGTTCACTGCGTCACAGAACCATCTCTTGGATACCAAATATTAAAATTAAACCACATTTGTTTCAGAGACACATACGCCCATCACACCTGCATCCTCAAAGAACTAAACAACACGAACCGATCACGGTGTCGGAAGTGTGCCGCAAGATACAACTGCAAACGAACGATAAAGCCAATAAAGCACTGGCAAATACACCGAATATTTTTCTCCTTCACCTTTATAGTCTTCAGCTCACTGATCCTTTTTACGGGCATGTTCGTAGCTGCTCTCTTTTTTTTAAGTGGTTTTTTAACGGAAAAGAATAAACTGAACGTTATTGCGGTGATTTTTTATGTCATAGTGTCGTATATCGCTATCGCAGTCGGACAAACCGCAAAGTTGATAATATTTTTGGAGTTCAGTTATTGTTGTGTGTCCAAACTTGATGCTGTATTACCAATCAGCCATGATTGACATAAAATTAGAAACCCAACTTATCTCGGGTTTCTAATTTTCAGTTTTAAAACTTAATTGAGATATTGATTCTTACAGATTATTCGCATTTTGAAAGCAGATTTGTTTTCTTAAACTTATAAAGGTGACCCTGACTACGCAGAAATTATAAGGCTTAGGACCTCCTGATGTTCCCAGAGCCAGTTATTAAAGCAGTAATTTGTTATTTTTTTTGTAATAACTTTGTATTTATTTTAATTTTCAGCTCTTTATTTAGTTGCATGTTATGAAAAACAGATTGGTCAGTTCATCGGCCACAAATAATAAAAAACAACAGGTTCATGTCTTATTTAGCGAATTAAAATCTTTGCTCCTCAAAATGTTAACTCCTTTCCATTTAAACTATAATTTCAGTACTGGGCTGTGGTTGGTGCAGTCACAGTGGTTTCTAGTAAGAGTTATGATTTGGAAAATAGTTTTGCCCCCCCAGTTTTGGTTAAAATACTACGTAGAGACATGGTTACATTCTGTCCTAGATAAAATCGGAGTTCAAAAATCACTCACTGTTAAAGCTATTTATAAAACTTCATACCTCAAGACGCTTCAAGTCTTTGTATTCGTTGTCTCCTGAGTTACACTCCGTTTCTTTCTGCTTGTTAGCAACAATTTCTAACACGATATCGTTGCAGCACCTGTCATAGTATAATGTTCAAGTAAACCGCTAGTATGGTGAAAACTGGCGAGCTGTGGCAAAAATTGCTTTGAATTGTAGCAGTAATTATAAACAAATTCCAAATGAAAGAAACAGTTGCCACAGTAATAGTATCAAAGAACCTGACACGGATCAGTCTGTGCAGAGTGACGCTGCATCCCCTAATATGAACTCTGCCTTCCATGTCCATCATGTCATAAATAGTCCAGGGACTGGGTCGGGCTCCTTGGATAGATTGCCACAGTAGCAATACAATACCAGAACAAAAATAAATTAGAAGTTAAACTTACTTGATTATTTTAGCGGTAAACTCTCTCAATTTCGAACACACAGCTTTTCCAGCGGTCTCGAAATTTGAAAGCTTGGCGTATGTACCTCCGATTGGCTCACGGTCATGCAAATCAGAATCGTCATCGTCCCCTATTATAGCTAGAACATTTAATATTTATCTCTAATATATAAGACTTTCAAACTATGAACCTGTACTCATAAAGCACACAACAGAGTGTTTAAATTTTCAACTGTTATAATCTTACCATCTGATATAGTTGAGTCCGCCGCGGTCAACTCCAGAATCATCATCACCATCCATCTTATCATGTCGTTGTGGAGAACTGACACCTGTCAAGGGTAATCTGTTATGATATTCTAAAAACGAGTTGTTCTCTTAACTCTTTGATATCTCATTTAAATAACGTTGTTGACTGATTTAAGGCCCGCTGCCCGCTTATTTTCCATACCTTAATTTCTCAGTCGAGTACATTTGCATCAATAGCACATTACAGCTTGAAACAACAACCAATAAAATGAACTGAAACCAACTAGAGACCAACTTATAATACAGTGGATCACTATTCAATTTACTCACAGTTTCAACGATGACAGCGTTCTCATTGTCGATAGTGTTGCTTGTGTTCCTCAGCCACTTGTCCACGTCACCTAGAACTCTTTCCAGGGTCAGAGCCTCTGGCTCCGGGGTCGAGCTGTACATTGTCGTTCGGCTAAAAAACATTAACTATAGTTTTCTAGTGAAACTGAGAAAAACTGTTGACGAATTATAAAAATTTACATTTTAACAAATAAACCGCAATGTTAAAATATATACAGAGAGAACTCCATATTATTATACATTAACTTACTCATCGTCAGAGTAAACAGAATCAGCGTACACAAAGTCCTCCATGATGCTAGGTGGGATGGTGGTGATATCGTCTTCTTCACTGATAACCACGCATGTCGTCAGTCTACTCAGCACCTTCCCGATCACGTGTGACCATTCTTGGAGATTCGACGACAACCTGCAAGCAAATATTTGTTAACGAGATTATTGTGATTTCTTCATTAACATTTAATAATAAAGAGAATCGTTCCATCCTGGTCCAGGTAATTTCACCCGGCAAGATGCCAGTTTTAGAGACGCGCGCACTCCATGGAAACGAAGACAAATCGATGACGACTGCAGCGTTATCTTACAAATTATTGATTCGACGTTCGCGTGCGCCGTCAAAACTTACTTTGCCCACTCTGCTTCAGACAGAAGATCCTCACCTTTTATTACCGCCATTAATCTATTACCCCTGAAAATTAGAAGTATTATAAGAAAAAACCACACAAGTACAAGCGCTGAGAATACGGTGTAACAGAGATTAGTGACATAGGAGGTAAATACAATGGGATGCTATATGTTTTGGAAATTTTCTAATTGTGACAAAACAAATAGTCTTAAACCATTAATTTTACAAAAAAAGACTCACCAAGTTTCAATGGGGTTCACTAATCCGATGATACCTCTAGCCACACCTGACGCTAAGTTGTTAGTTTAAATAACAGGTATAAAAACACGGCAACTAAAATATTGAACAGAGCTGAAATGAAAATAAGAAAATATGATACGTTTCAAGGGATACTTTAGCAGTAAATAAAAAACCCACCATTTTCTCCCGATACTCTGACTACAAACTGTTGCATGAGTTCCTCGCATTCCTTGTCAACTAGCAACAAAGATTCTTGACAGGGGTGACGCTTGCTGCAAACATAATATTATGAAGACCGCAATGGTTGGTTAGCAGACAGTGCAAAGTATTAATCGCAGTATTGATTGAGTTTATTGATTGAGGGCGGTTTCAAAATTGCAAAGAATGTTCATGTTTGCAAATTTTATAAGATTGTTTGGATCTCTAATATAGACTCTGATAAGTCGTACGCTCACGTGCTAAGATACCTATTAAATTATATTTGTTTACTAAATGAAGCCCAATAAAACATTAAACAAACTGAAACCAATTTACTTGATAATAAACGGAGCAATATTGGAATTTCAGTGTATTTGTATGAAAACATCGCAGTTTGCATTGTACAGTTATACCTGTCTTTTCGAGGGTGATGTGAGAATATGTTGATAGCAGCATCCTTCCAAACATCCACCAATCGACTTATCTTTGTCAAATCCTGAAAACATAATTACTGTGAATTAGTTGATTATGTCATTCCGATTTTTACTTCAGGTGTTTTTTAAGATGAGGCCAGAAAAATTAATAATAATCAAAAAGTCAGGATATCACAAACAACACGGCACTATATACACTAGAAAACAGAGATACCTTAATTCCCAAAAATTTGGGCGACAAAAAATTTGAGCGGGCCTCTCGCCCAAATTTTTTGCAGACCAAATTAATTGCATAAATCTTTTCCGTCTGCTAAATTTTTTGCTAACCAAACTTTTGGCATTTGGCCTGTGGCCCTGAAATCTGTAGAAAGATTTGTCATACGTTGTATGACCCGCCGCGCACGAGTGCGCGGCTCCCCCTGTATCGTCGAAACTCTACAGCTATAGTGAAGCGACCGTGGGGGTCACCACGTGATACAAAGAAAGATGGCTTTTTCTTCATATCCAAGTGAAATGATATTTGAAATTTTAGTTTTCTAATCTGTCATTCATGGCATGACCAAGTAAAAAGGCTTATGTTTTAAATGAATGGAAATAACTGGAATAGCTAACAGCTACTAATAAAACAAATGGCTAGAGGTACGGATAGCTAGAGATTTAAACAAGATCTGCAAATGGATTATCATCCACCGTAAAGTCTGATCTACAAGCATCAGTTATACCCGACTTCTCAAAGCCTTTCCTTATGTCATCTGGCCTCCCTTTTAAATATACAAAAAGTTCGACAAAAATTTTGTTTTACTTATTAGCTGGAACTTTCTGTAGGATGCAGTTGTTGGCTGTCATCAGATCTTTTAGTGTCTGTGTGTGTTGGGCCCGAAACACATCTGATATCAGTGGCGCTGATTCTATGTGGGGAAGAAGGATTTTCTCAAAGAACTGGACACTGGTCAAACCTTTCGACCATCTGGTGAGGCGTCATAATGATAATTGTATGTGAAAGGGGTATGATGAGATATGCTGAGTGTAAGTAGACTAAACTATCTGATTGGGAGACAAAATATCACTATTGTACACTGTACAGTGTATATGTATCTATCATTTTGTACTGTGCCATCATCACTGTATTTTTTAGTAGTTACTGGGCAGATCGTAAATTTCATAATGTGAAACAACTCAGACTATCACCTACATGTTTAAAATTGAAAGCAAAATGACTGGAATAATAAGGAATAATAATGAACTAAGGCAAATATCTAACTGAAATTTTAGTGGAAAATCGTTCATTTTTCGAAGAATTTGTGCCCAAATTTTCGGTCGCCCAAATGAGTTCAAATTTTCTGCCCAAATTTTTCGGGCTCAAATAAATTGTGCTCAATATAATGGCACACAAATTTTTGGGAACTAAGGTACCTTAATTCCCAAAAATTTGGGCGACAAAAAATTTGAGCGGGCCTCTCGCCCAAATTTTTTGCAGACCAAATAAATTGCATAAATCTTTTCCGTCTGCTAAATTTTTTGCTAACCAAACTTTTGGCATTTAGCCTGTGGCCCTGAGATCTATAGAAAGATGGCTTTTTCTTCATATCCAAGTGAAATAATATTTTAGTTTTCTAATCTGTCATTCATGGCTTAACCAAGTGAAATGACAGATTTCACTAAAAATGAACGATTTTTAGTGGAAAATCGTTCATTTTTCGAAGAATTTGTGCCCAAATTTTTGGTCGCCCAAATGAGTTCAAATTTTCTGCCCAAATTTTTCGGGCTCAAATAAATTGTGCTCAATATAATGGCACACAAATTTTTGGGAACTAAGGTAACAATCTCAGTACCTCCTGGCTAGCTAGAAGAGTGTCTCCACTAAACCGCTCTATCAACACAGACAACATCTCCTCCCACATCCTGCAGTTCTGGAAGAGTTTCTCTACCGGGTAATCAGGTGGGATCTCTACTCGTCCTGTCGGCCTGCACACAGTTTGTTAAATCATTATACTTGTTGGAAGTTAATTTGGAGGTAATCGAAACCTGGTACTGATAAAGAATTGAACCTTTAAAGTAAGTACAATAACCTGATTCTGATAGCCAAATCATCTCTCCACCCGTCCACCTCTCCAAGAATCTTCTCCAGCTGATCCTTCATGGAATCATCAATCCTCTCCAGTTCCCGAGAGAAACTGGATATTCTCCCTCTCCAGTGGTCCACAGAGTTTTGCAGATCTTGTAACTGAATATGTTTACGATAACTTATATTTTTATATATAGGGTGATATAGGGAGGGCACTGTAAGTTTGAAGAAGAAGTTTCCTTCTAGAACCTATTTCATGAATAAAGCTGCATGAATATCTCATTAGCACTATAAGACTCATATTCTCATCTGGTGAACGTTCTCATTAATCAACCACAAAACCTATCTTCAATACTTAGATACATATTATTCACCATCATTAGACTGTGACTAGATTGAACATCATCACCAATATATAATGCGAGAATATGATTGAACATGTTACAACCCAATAAGTAATGATAGCGACGTTGGGTGATCAAGTTTACACGATAGGTAGAAACTGTAGCGGTAACACTAAAGCCGACCAACTTATCTTACTAAGAACTCAACATTTATATTGAAATTTACAAAAATATTCGTTTTTACCGCTTTAGAGTCGACATCAGCCAGAACTAAACCAAAATGTCCAGCGAGTTTGTTCCAGGCTTGTTCACACAGCTGTAGTCTCCTTGCTGTCCGCAAATTCCTCTCTTGACAAATCTGAAAAAAAAGTTTTTGTAGTTTGGTAAGGTTTTAATTTATTCATCAGTAGTTCTGTGATAAACAATGTATTCAAATTACATTCAACATTTTAATGTTTCCTCGACAGGAGCAATATTTTAAAAGCTATGCTTATCAATACTTCAAGTGATAAAAAGATAAGTTGTAAGTTGCTTACGAAAACAATTAAAGAATTAAATTTTGTAATAAAAGTTTGATTTTGATTTTCCAATCAGCTAACCCTCCTAATTTGTCTTCCACTATTACAGTACTAACTCTCAAGGCTATTGGGACTGAATGACTGGTGGATTAGCGATAAAAACAAGACATATGGAGAATGAATATTATCTATATGGGTAACACGACTCCTGTCCGACAACGACATCTGTCTGAAAGCGACATCTGTCCGACTCAGGGTACCAGAAAAAAACGACATCTGTCCGAAATTGTGACCTGATTTCAATACGACACATTTCCAATTAGAGACATGATCTGAACTGTTACTTGCTAATTTGTATACCTAACATTTTCAATTTGAGATATAATCTGAGCCATAGTTTACTACCATAGTTTATTTTCATTTGATGTCGATAAATTGGACAATAGTTTAAATGTTATATAAATTAATTCAATAAAATACAATATCACAGAATCAAATCTAACGCATAGTCAAATTTCCGATAGCTTTTAGGAAATCCATAGGGTTGCTGTAGTTGTTGTAATCATCTACAATTCTCTGAAGTTGTCGATCATAACGGATCCATTTGGGTGCACGTGGCTCGGGTAGTTCCCGCCCGTCTCTTTTGGTTTTCTTTACGTCTGTACTCTGTAAGGGCTTGTTCTGCTTTAAGGCAATCAAGGAACTTCCAAATTGTGGGCTTCGAGCAGGAGAGCATTTAATGGAATCCCGAATCTGTGATGCAAACCTTCTGCGATATTAGATGAGCGAGGAATCAGTGCGGCTTCGTGTTGATTCCACATGTGGGGAGCGAAGTTAGGATTGGTGGTTGATGTCCCGATCCAAGTGTTTTCGTAGTATGAAGCAAACTCAGCCATGTCTATAGGAAGGAGGGGCTTCAGGTGTCTCCAGATTCGAGGGACGTCAGTCTCTGGTACGTAGGCAATCGCTCCAGTCATCGCAAAGAAATCCCGAACAGGTGAGTTTGGAGTCAGATACTCCTCCCAGATGTTGGTCTGCTTAACATGCTTTGGAGACGTATCGGAAGCCATTCAGGACAGGGTTCTCCGAGCCTTGTTTGCGTCCCGGGATACTCTAAATCTCCATACTGCTGACAGCTTGTTAGTGTACAGTTAGCACGATCCTGTCCTCAATTAGTCAATCACGTATCGATGGATCAGATCTTAATGGATCACATCAGCATTAGAACAATGGGAGCAACGTCACGAAATTAGCCGTGATCTTGTGAAATACGAATGTGAACCGAAATTACAATATGATCCGAAATTCGGACAGATGTCGCCAAAAACGACTCCTGTCCGACAGCGACATCTGTCCGAAATCCCTAATTCAGCTGTCGGACAGATGTCGCCCAATCATCTACCTTACAAGACATATTTATAACGTACGAAATGTGGCGGTTTTCCGAATATTTCGCCATATTTTCGGACCGCCAAAATTTCGGTCGTCGTAATAGAATCCGTCGCATTATCTTTTAGCTTATTTCAATGACTGTGCCTTCACTGCTTTATTTTGTTTCTAAAAAGTAATATCAAGTAAAATAAATAAATAAATTCTGGCATCTTGGGACAAATTATCACCGCACCAATGACGAATTGAATGTCAAGCAATACAGTTTAAAATTGCATTAAAATACATGTATGTGCTAACATGAAAGTCTTACAGTCTTAATACAGACTAAGTTTGAACATGATTTTACCGAATTTCAGAAATTTCCTTACTGCTTACTGTCACAAAAAATGATGAAAAATACCCTTATTATCTGTGACGTCCGAAATTTGACGGTTTTTGTTCAATTTCGCCATATTTTCGGACCGCCAAAATTTCGGTCGTCGCAAATTAGGCCGCCATAAATATGTCTTGTAAGGTATATGATATATCAGCCATCATTGATTTAACTACACATGATTTACACACGATTTACACACGAGAGAGAAGGAGAGAGAGAGAACATAGAGATAATATATATACTAAACAGAAAATCTTAACACTTTTGGTCTCCAAGATAATATGGACACTGCACAAATAAGGGTAATTTGACAATTTAAGTTGAATTATAGCACTGATGTTGCTAGTGCTAGGGGGATTAGAGAGAGTGTAGCAGAGAGAGGTCACGTGACAACTTCCCAGATTACTTCTCCAAAATTTCAGTGGATTTGCAATGTTTACTGAGGATAAAATTACGATCAAATCTTGGTATGAGCAGTTTAGTTTGATAACCTGATGTTTCACATCTGGGTGTTTTACAATTTTCTACAATCTACTCACTAACTTTGTATCGTTTTTGCTTATTAATCTTACTATGTATATATAAAGCTCTAGCTTTTACTCTAGCTGTCTTGATCTGTACTGATCACCATTTTAGGATGACTTGATTTCTTTTAGGGGTTTTGAATATTTTAATGGTGTAAACAGTTTCTTAATAATAATATATAAAGCGAGACGATATATTTATATCGGTACCATTTTACTGACACCACGGCATCAACTTTAACACGTCTTTCTGAAAAAAATCGTAAATGATATACACCTTAAACTTTTTTGACTGGTTCAACTGCTTTAATGGCCTTCAAATCAGCATGAAAAAATAAACAATTGGCCAAGGAATAAGAATTTTAGTGCCCAAAATTTGGATCCCAAAGTGGTTTAAAAATAAGCGAATTAAATAGGTAATAATTATTTTAGTCTCTTGAGTCTTAACACCACTTTAGGGTTACATTAAACGGGTTTCTGTCTATAGTGTGACAATGTAACCATTTCCGTGCCGGCCGTATTTAGGCGATATCTTATCACCTGATTAAGATATCGTTATGTGACAAAGTTTTTCTAGAGGTCGATTATCCTAACCATCAATGGTTTAAATAGTTTCATAGTGTGACAAAGTCAACTACACCGTGCTTTTGCCTTTTTAACAGGGCAACTAATATTTGCCAATATCCATAAACTCGAATGAACGTGTCCAAATATGCAGTTATACCTTATAATACATAGATTATAACGAAGTTATCATTAGCTTAGCTTTGTGTATTTTTATTGCCTTTTACAACTATCATTATACAAAGATTGGGTAAAGTTTCCCGAATCATCTCATAAATAATGGTTACTTATACTTTGCCATGCACATTCCACATTGCATGATCTATGATTATCGATTATAATAGCCTTTGTTATGGATATTGGATGTTCAATCATTTGGATCAGTGTGCGTTATTTATTTATATATATTTATTTGTTGTGCACGAAAACACACGTATTGCTGTATTGTTATACTTATAGACTATCGTGATCATGTCATTTTATTATCATTGTTTTTTAATAATCGCTAAATATTGCAGATCATCCTGGAGCATTTGTTTGAAAACCGTATTGAGAACTATTATAATAAGTTACTGGGAGGAGAATGGAGCTCCATCACAATAAGACAAAATTGTAAATAGCAATGGGCCAGATGGTCAATATTCCCTTTCCATAATAATATCAGTTACCTGAATTATATGTCTGTACCATAAATTGGTAAAATTTACTTTGTAAAAACAGGTCGTTAACTTACAATTTTTGCTATTATCATTGTTATAATGTAGTAGAAATTGCTACTCTCTCTCTCTCTCTTTCTCTCTCTCACTCTCATATTAATGGACCTTTACCGATAGTTGAAATTCGACATATAGCGCTAGATAGCGCTAGATGACGATAGATGACGCAGTTGACGCTAGATGACGCTATCTAGCGTCATATAACGCTAGTTACGCGACATATAACGCTAGTTACGCGACATATAACGCTAGTTACGCGACACTGTCCCCAGGCGACAGCTAGCGCTATTTGCATAGAATTTCGGGCCTTTTTGTGGGCGACATCTAGCGCTAGATAGCGTCATCTAGCGTCATCTAGCGTCATCTATCGTCATCTATCATCACCAGGCGACGCTAGATGACGTTAGATAACCCTGTCCGTGCACTCCCCAGACAATGGAAGTGATATGTTTTAATCACAGTACAAAGGGCAGTGTGTATGCTGCTGTTTAATTTGGGAATGTTGCAGTGACATCTTTAGTTATCTGGTCTACCTGTCTGTTCTTCAAATGATGGAGTAGTTTGCTGTTTATTAGTCTCGTGATTGAAATACTGATAGTGATCAGGGACAAAAGGATTTCGCGGCATGTACGAAATCGCGAAATTTCCCATTCTCCGCGACAAATTTTATGTATAGTTTAATGTATAGCCTGTTAAATTTCGCGGTATTTCGCGGTATCGCGAAATTTGGCCAAAATAATCGCGAAATCCTTTTGTCCCTGATAGTGATAGTTGGATAATACCCGGTTGGAAGAGACAAGGACAAATGAAACATGAAGTTAGGAATGTAGGCACTACATTCCTAACGTAGGCCTACATTCCTAACTTCCTGTTTCACTTTCATTTGTCCTTGTCTCTTCCAACCGGATATTATCCAACTATCAGTGTCTGTTCTTGTCACATTAATACACACACTAATCGTTCAACGTCTTTAATCAAGAGCCTGTAACATTTTTTCACAGACTTGATCACTTGAAACAGTACTAGTTAAAAGCACTATGACAACTTCAAACAACATCAGTATCTTTGGGATACACAGCGATGCAGAGAGATACACTTGGGCTGCGTACTGTCTCTTCGTTCTCCTGTCATCCCTCATTGGAGACACCCTCATCCTCTATGCATCTACCCACAACGTATTCAAACTTAATAAGTTCATAGTCAAAGTTATCCAGCACATCGCAGTATGTGATCTTGTGTATGCAGTGACGGCAGTGTTTCCTGCAGCTACCTCGTTGATCGCTAATTCCTGGGTACTAGGGGATGCTCTGTGTTATGGTAGGGTCTATACTAGCTACTACATTTACACAGTAGGGATGGCTCTTATTGCTGTTCTGACAACCACCAAACTCCTGCTTCTTAAATATCCAGTTCGGTGTGCACAGTGGACTAAGAGGCTGGGACACAGAACATGCAGCCTCATTTATATAATACCTCTCACTATTCCGGCAGCCTTTCTTATTGTGGATAAAAATGACATTTCATTTGATTATACAGCATATAACTGCCAACACAAATACAAAGCAGACGTGTGGAGGAAGATAATGCCAATTATTGGTGTCATCACTCTTTTTCTTCCAAATATTGTGATTCTTGTCACAACAATCCCCACCCTGAAGTACCTAGCAACCGCCTGGGAGTCCGCAAGACGTGTCCGAGGAAGTTTTCCTTTGCAGGGGACTTTAACTGTAGCGCTAACTGCTACTATCTACTGCATCGCAACTTTACCAGTGTTTGTTTTCTACATTACCAAAGAAAATCCTGAGCCAAGTCTATCTCGAATCCAATTTCGCAGAATAGCAAATTTCATGAGTATGATAAACATAATGTCTAATTTTTACATCTACTCTCTGACGATCAAGAGTTTCAGAGACTTCCTCACTTCAAGGATTTCCTCTATTCTATCAGCTTGTCTGCGAATCATGACAACTTCAGGTACAACCTCCTACAAATAAATTTCGTCTTAGTAGACTACATGTATGCCCCAAGATTTATGTTTAAATACCTGAAGCTGAATTAAGCAATATTTTTGTTGATACAATACATTTTCAGATGAAGGCGACCAAGAAAGAAGAGGAGCAGACAGGAGCATCACACAGATAAACGAAACATCGGTTTGAATGGACACGATAAACTCAGTGTATCATGTAATGGATAGCAATATTTTATATTTAATTAACTTTGACTTAATCAAGATTATCAAATTGAACTGCCATATCATGAATGATGTTGGTGTGCATTATAAATTTGATACTTTTAAGATAAAAAAGTAAAGATTACCAGAGTTAGCACAAGAAATATTTTAAGTGCAATTTTTGTGATAAACAATTTGTTTACTAGATTTGGTACCTTGTTTATGAATTTGCTTGTTTGGATTTGTATTAATGGACCGTTTCCTGAAATGTCCCCTCGATAGCTCGAATTTCTGTGAAGACTTAATAAGACTAAAGCCCTATATTGACAAGACTAAACGAGACTAAAGCCTACCTTGACTGCCAGATCATAAACAGCTCTGCTCCACAGATCTCTCTCTTTATTGAGAGTGGTTATCTGAAACTCCAACCTGGACCTCTGTATCTCATACAAACTGTGGTACTCCGCCACCAAGTTAGCGTTCTTCTCTGATTCGCTGAGAGCAGATGCCAGGTCCTTCTGTGCTTCGAGAGCCTGCTGTGTAACCTCCTGGTCATGTTCCCGCACCTCGTTCAGCTCTTTGGAGAGAGTTGCTATTGCTGTTTTGAAGCGGATCAGTTCATCTGTTAGCCGCCGGTCTAGTGCACGCTGCGCCATTACTTCTTGGTGCAAACTACAGGTGCAACATCCGTTCAGTTTTAAAATAATTTGAAACAACATAATAGATATATCTATAATTACTTGGTTAATATTTCATAAATAAATTATAAAATAATAACCAAGTTTGAATGTGAAAATAAAGAGAAAAAGAGCTTAAAACCACTAGAATTAGGTTTAAAGAAGTTCTAAAAAATAATATAGAAACATAACCTCATAATCTGTCTGGGAATGCGGTCGAGTAACTTCTGGTAATATTCCCTGACTTTAGCCAGCAACACCCCCCGATCTTTGCACCCAACTGTTACCTGCCGCATTTTATGTAACTTGCATATTATGCTTGTGTTAATGTTATTACAATGATTGCGAAGATGGGGTGACGACTGACGCCTGGACCAGGAGATTAATGGGACATATTGTTTACAACCCCAACTGTTACCATATTCAATCATCGTAATAACATCACCTCCACTAGCTTACCTTCCGTTCAGATTCACCTCTTCACAGGTTATATTATATGGGTGCTACATACACAGATACTATGGTACAACATTTATTAATTTGAGGTGAAAAACTTATAATGTCTTGTTGCAATGCTGGAAGAAAATAGATCGATTTTGTTGAGAAATCGATTTTATAGAAATTGTATCAACCAGTCACCTGTCTTATGAGCTCATGAAATACAACGTTGTAAATATGTTGTTCCTTCTTTATCAATTGTAGAAGATTGTGAACTTCCGTTGTTTCGACCTAAAATATGTTAAAAGTTATGCGTGAAGACTGAGTTATTGATATTACTGGCTATGATAACACTAAAACTCGCAGATAGTATCTTATTTTTATCTTAATTTTTACAAACAATTCAGCGCAAGATGCTAGGACATGGGGAGCACTGGACATTGTACTGTAGGTGCACTAAATGCGCACTAAATTGCACGTGTTTAACACGTCTTACCTGTGTTATCTGATCCGTAGTACATCCTGCTTCCTCCAACAAGTGGTCCATTGTCTCCATCAGCTGCATCACCTGATAACAGAACTCGTCAGATACCGTTTTGGTGTATACGAATCTAACCAAGAACAAACATTCTTTACCTTAATTCTACATCACGTTCCATATATAATATGTATACTATATCTCTCAAGTACTATAATCCCGAGTATATTCATTATTTATGTATTATATTTTAAGAGAACTGAGTTTGACTAACCTCCTTCCTACTGGTAGGTTTGAGACTAGGGAAGAGTGTGACATGGTGCTCATGCTCTTCAGTTAGTGTAGTGTTTGGAGCGTCTTCTATGTTGAGACCATGTACCCCGCTAACTCGTACCACGTGATACTCCTCCGGTATTAGACTCTCAGCTGCCCAGTCATACTCGTCCTGGGGAGTCAGGTGTTACACTAGGTGTTACACTAGGTGTTACACTAGGTGTTACACTAGGTGTTACATTAGGTGTTACACTAGGTGTTACACTAGGTGTTACACTGGGTGTTACACTAGGTGTTACACTAGGTGTTACACTGGGTGTTACACTAGGTGTTACACTAGGTGTTACACTAGGTGTTACACTGGGTGTTACACTAGGTGTTACACTAGGTGTTACACTAGGTGTTACACTAGGTGTTACACTGGGTGTTACACTAGGTGTTACACTAGGTGTTACACTAGGATGGGTTATTGTTTTATTGTTGCTGGTTGAAGTCTGTATGTTAGCCATGTCTTACTCGATTGAAAAAGTTGCAGAAAAAACAATTAGTATTTGGTGACCATTACTGATTTGCACAATTGTGCAAACTGGATAAAAACAATATTGACCGGAAATCACTAATAAACGAAAATGTAACCTCAATGCCTGGAGTCTTCATTCCAACTTCACCCATTTTATCATGCTTTCCTTCTCTACTTTTCGACAGTGATGTTAGTGGCTTGGCCCGATTATCAATTACTTTAGCATCGTACAGAAATGATATATCCCTGATGAATGTTAGAATTTAAAGGATTTAACAATAACACTAGATACATATTGGATACACTGTACGACTTTATTATATTATCATAGAATCATGGCACATGGCAATACATTATCAGATATCACCTACCTTCCAGCTCCACAGAAACAAGGTGTGTTTTTAGTTAGATGCCTGAGAGTAGAGCGCTGTTTAGGGTAATTCCACGCATTGTCAGGACGGGGCACTATTGCATGTGTAGCTTCTTTCCCTGGAGGAGCAGAACAGGTTAAAGTTACAATATGTATGAGCATATTATACTCCTAAATGTTTGATTAAAAAGTAAAAAGTTTAACTTTAAAGAAAGTAATTAAACAAATAATTTCAACACGATAATAGGCTTAACATCACAGAGGTTAAACAATGCAAATGGCGAGCAATAACTAGGATAAAAAGAACTAGTCTCACCATCAGCAACAGGAACTTTGACAGTCTTGAGAGGTGCTTTGCCTGATTTGTTAACTTTACTGCTGGCTAGATTCAAAGTCTTGACAATATTTGCAGGTACATGATCTGCTTTCACTGCTTTGTAATGCTCCACATGCTCTACCAAGTTCTTAGTCGTTTTGGCAGGGCTTTTAGTAGCATTGTTACGGTTCAATGTCTCCATAAAATCCTAATAATGGTTAGAGATTTACAAGGGTGAGACGTTGAGCAGGAAAAATACCTGAGATGCTCATATGTACCTGGTCGAACTGGCTTTGGTCCTAAATTATCAAAGTCTTCTGTTTATCACAATCTTGTGAACTCTTAACTGCACAGTTCAAGCTTGTAAATTATATGCTGAGATTCAAAACTAGCTAAATTTGTTGCACAGCTTGACTGACTTATTTCTGTTGTTTCATGGGCTGTGATATAATCTCGGATAGATTTAAATAATTTAGAAACCTTATTCAAAATCTAATTACTGTTGGACAGCTGAATCAGTCTTGAGCACACTTACTTACTTTCAAAAATTAAAAATATCTTTAAGCACCTAAACCACTTAGCTTTTTAGATATTAATATCTCAGATGCAGTATTTCATATATTGGTTTGATAATTGATATTCTTTATCAATAATAATGATGTTTGCAGCACAACAAAATTGAATATTATTTAAGGTAAATAGAAGTAAGATGAGCAAGTGGAGCAAGTGGATCAATTCCGAGGGATGTAAATTGTAACAATAAAATAATCGAGAGTCGAGATCTTTGAATCAGTTAGGGTTAGAGCAACACTCAGTCGATTTATTCAACTTTTAAATGATTCTTTCCAGCTGGTATAAAGACTGTCTTCATTCCTGCTTTGAATTCAATTAATAGACTGTTAAATGGCTTTTGTAGTAGCAAAGTAAACTGTAGCATTGATTTAGCCTATCACATAACTTTATTTGTTGTTAAAGTTGATATTCTGTTAATGTAACGTCGTAAGCATTCAATGAATTTGTTGCACTTTGTTTTAGTGTTGTTAATTGTAATGGTAACTAAAAAGATTAATATTAAATAAATACGTATGACACGATATAGATAAATTTTCAATAAAAATATTGTATAAAAGTAACAAAGAGAACAGTTGAAAACATTGGTAGCGCTCGATTATCAAACTACGAATTAAACAGGATCGCAGAATGCAGCCTATCAAAATAAAAAATGCACGGCGCGCGCAACTTATAATTTTTTTGATTTAAGCAGACCATCATGCAATTTAAAATTAAATTAACAAATGTAATTCCTAATTTTGCTTTTAATTTTTTCAATAGCAAATAGTATTCTTTTCAAAATAAAAACATTAATTGGTTATTTTCATTTCTATTGTTTAAATTTGGAATTAATTGATGTACATGTACATATAAGCTTGTTTATTGTTGATTAGTAATTTGTAGCTTAATACATTGCTGGGCCGCGCCGCGCATTAAATAATGTTTCTTGGCGTGATGCACCATGACATAACTTGTATGACGTCGTGAACCCCATTGTCGTTTCACTATAGTAAAGTTTATCTACGATACAGGGGAGACGCGCACTCGTGCGCGGCGGGTCATATAACGTATGACAAGACATAACTTGTCATATGTTGTATGACCCTGTGAGGTTCTTGTACTTGTTTACTATTCAATGAAACCAGGTAATGAATGTAGAACAACTTACAATGAACTGTATTACATGGAATAACCTAAAGGGGGATGTCGTTAGATAACAGCATATAAAATAGGCTGACATCACACCCTCTCTTCAAAAGTTTAAAAACCCAATTCTATATGAAAATTTCAAACCCAGTTAAAATCGTATAAGGTTAACAATGTTTAATAAATTAAATGAATTAATAAATAGCATCAGTAAGATTGAGTCAATTTCAAATATCCCAAAGATATCGAACAAATACAATAATTTTAAAATATGTTGATAAATCTCTCAAAAAGTAAACATTTTCTCATTCGTTCTCGAAAACGTTTTCAATAAAAACCATATCAAAATAGTTCAAGAACAATCATAAATAATTCAATAACTCCCCTAAAAACCATATAAATCTGGCGGTACAAAAAGGTTAAGAAAACTATTAAGGTATCATCTAATATAACATTAAACACTATAATCGATAACCGTCATAATAAACAAGTGCTTATAAGTATAAAAGTCTATTCAATCTGGTCAATGAGTCTATTACCTATTACAGCTTTAGAGACTCTGCCTGAGCGTGTAGCATTAGATGAAGTAGGTATAACCTCTGCAGTAGCGACCTCTTCCGTAGTTTCGGTACTCTCCTCAGTAGCGATATCCGTCTCATTAATGGTATCCTCAGGATCCCTTAGGCAATCCTCTATTGCTTCAGGGCTTTCCGACAGAACGTGTTCCCTAAATCTCCGCATATCAAGGGTGTCTATTAGTGTCTTATCCAAAAGGTTTTCCACCAGCGATGTAGGTGTAGTAGATATCAGTAGTGTAGGATCAGGAGCCTTTATAGTACTGGTAGTGGGTAACGATGGCATAATATGGAGTCTTGGTGTGTTTGTTGATTCCACCTCTTCAGTATCTGTTGATGTTCTGCTTGCAACAGGTTCTTTTCTGGTGCCTGCGTCCATCATCAGGTTACTGTGATAAATTCTATGTTTACCCTTCGAATCAGTGATTTCCCAGTTGACATCGCTGAGTTTCCTAACGATGTGGAATGGTCCATCAACCCATTTAGGCGAGATCTTTTTATGTTTACCATGTGTACGCTTTATTAGCACTCGGTCTCCTTGCTTCCACTCCTTACTCTCCTTTGAGGCATTCTTGTCATGTTGAATCTTGTATGCTTTCTTGGCCATGTCACGGTTGTGATTAGCTGCTACTAAGATCTCTTCGTGACTGAGCTCATTGGTAATACTTGGTAGTTGGAAGAAATTATCAACTGCTAGTCTAGCATCTTTACCAAAAGTACACGAGAATGGTGACGCCTTAAGCGACTTGTTCATTTGACTGTTCATCTCTAACACAGCTTCTGGAAGAAGGGTATCCCAATCTGTCACAGGTGTCTGCCTGGCTATTATCATAGCACGCAGTCTGTCTTTAACGGTTTGAATTGATCTTTCAGCCGATCCATTCCCCTGTGGGTGGTATGGGCTTGAGTGGCGCTTCTCGATACCAAGCTCATCACACAGTTCTTTGATGGCTGATTTGTCTACATTAGGGCCTTGGTCAGAGACTAGAATCTTAGGTACTCCATAATAGGCAATATGTTTCTCCCAAAATGCTTCTTTGAGGACCTTAGATGTCTGATTGGGCAGAGCCGTAGCGTTTATCATTTTTGTACATAAGTCGACACACAGTATGAAACAACAATTACCTTTGGGCGATTTAGGCATTGAGCCTATATCAAAGGAAATCATCTCGTGGGATTTAGGGACATCAGTGATAATCATTTCAGCCTTATCAGGTCTACTCTTGGCTTGAATACAGGTTCTACAGTCTTTGGTGAAAGCATCTACCTGTTTAGATAAACTTCTCCACCAAAACCTAGCCCTGATTTGGGTTGCGGTTATCTCTGGCCCGGGATGGCTTTGGCAGTGGTACTCCTGAATTATTTTATCTTGAAGGCTTGGTGGCACTACAATACGTCTTCCCTTATATAACAGCCCTGAGCTGTCAACACTTATATATTTAGTGTTTTTATAAGGTCCTCTAGAGATAACCTTGTTGTTCTGTATTCTAGATGTAGTCCACTTAATCCAGGCATCGTTGTCTTGGGCATTTTTCAATGAGCTGTCATTCTCTCCACCTTTACTCAACTCAGCATAAATGTGACTTTCTGCTTCAGCATCGCTTCTTTCCGTTTTAATGTCAGTCTTTACCACAATTCTGCTCAGACTGTCAGCTACTCCATTCAATTCTCCAGGGATGTACCTAACTTCATACTCAACAGCCTCGAGTTCATTTAACCATCTCATTATCTTGTTCCGGGGGTCTTTTCGGTTGCGGATATTTTTCAGTGGCTCGTGGTCTGTATGGAATGTTACTTTTCCTTCACAGCAATACACTCTCCATTTTCTTAGGCAGCTGATAATAGCCCAAAGTTCTCTATCAGTAGCGTCCCATCTTGTCTCCGCCTTGGTAAGTGTCTGGGAATGGAACGAGATGGGGCAGATTTGACCAATTTTATCGACCTGATAGAGCATACCTCCCACCGCAATGCCAGAGGCATCAGTCTGTATGTGAAACGGTTCCTTCCACTTTGGTAGGTAAAGGTTGTTCACATTGCCGAGCTTGTCCTTTAACACTGTGAAAGCTTCCTCTTGAGTTGCACCCCACTCGAATTGCACTTTCTCTGAAACAAGGGAGGTTAATGGTTTAGCCAGTGTGGAATAATTCTTGATGAATCTTCTGTTGAAATTAGCTAACCCCAGAAATCGTTGGATTTCTTTCTTGTTTTTAGGTTTAGGGAACTGCTTGACTTTATCTATATTAGCTTCAGAAGGACCCACACTAACTCCGTCAATAACAAATCCCAAGAAGTCAATCTTAGTGTAGCCAAATTCACATTTGTCAACTCTGAGTGACATGTTCATTTTCCTCAATTCATTCATGACGATCTTAAGCATACTCACATGATCTTCCAGATTCCTGGAGAATAGTATCAGGTTGTCAGAGTAATCGTCCAATCCAGAACCATCTTGAGTCTGCTCCTTGGTCATGTTCTTCTTAGCACTCTTCACAATAGCATCCATATTCCTCTGAAAAGTAGGACCTGAGTTTTTGAGTCCAAATGCCATTCTTAAACATTGGTATTTACCGCGCGGCACGCTAAATGCTGTTTTATGTCTATCTTCTTCAGCAATAGGCACAAACCAGTAACCAGCCGCAAGGTCAAGTTGCGTAAGGGTCCACACCCTAGGGTCCACACATCCAAAATGATTATCTTGAAATTGAAAATTAGCTGGGTGTGCATTTTCCTTTGTCTTACTAACGTGTGTGAGCGCAGTGTAGTGAGAAAGTGTTTTTAACAGATTTATTATTAGACTTAGGATTATGATTTTTAATATATTACATTGATATAAGATTTATTTTTGATAGGTACTTAATAAAGTTGATGAATTTCCCTCCCTATTAAACTTTTAAACCCATTTAGTGAAAATTGATAAACGAAGATCTAGATATTGATACATATTATAACCAACAT